CCTGAATTTCCAACAACGGATGTGTACCGAAGATGGGGAGGAGGAGGGTCGAATTCTGGAAGGAAGACGCTCGCTGATTTTTCCCGTCTCTGCTAAGTGTGCATATGGGAGAGGTGGAGGCAAACCGAACGCCTCAAGACGAATGTCCGTTTTATGGGGAATGTCACAATGCGCTGTGCTGACTCTTACAGGGGAAGAATCGCCTCTCTGACACCCAGGCATTGTCTCAGAAGGCATTATATCAAGTGTGATTGAGGGTGGAAGCCAAAGGCAAACTCCAGGACGAGCTCGGTCTTACGAATAAGGAATTTTGCACCATCCTGCCTTGGGCATCCAAGTTGAAATGTCTCAAAAATGACAAGGCATCAATCACCTGGCTGGTGTTGCAAGGGGTTATCTGGGTCAACATGAAACTTTACACAGTGGAGATGATAAATAATGTGTTACAAACTACTTGAGAGAGCAATTTGTATTTATTCACACAAGGAAGTCAGGTTGTGATACAAGTCAGTTTAATGTGGGGAGCTCAAGCACGTACACTCGAGCAAGGAAAATTCTAAAAATCGGGCAAGGAAAATTCTCCAAGCCCATGCAACCATTGGCCTGCACTGATCCCTCTCTCTAGTGCAATGAGAGGGCACAGCCTTCCCTAGGGCTGGCACCTCTCTGTATAATGTTCCTCAGTTGCAACTCTGTCCTTTGACAGAGCCATCCCTGAGCACACTCTGCTCAAAGACGGAGACGCACCTGAGCGATGATAAATAGGGTGTTACAAACTACTGGAGAGAGCAATTTTTATTTACTTGACTCCCCACTGAGCCAGGGTGTGACACAAGGTAAGTTTTTAATGTGGGGACTCGAGTGTCGTTCCGCGGGCTGTTGATCATAAGCTGGTCTATGATAGTCATAGCTGTGATACTACCAGTGCAGGGACGGATCCCTGCACCCGATAAATATCAATGTGTTATAAACCACTCAAGAGAGCAATAATATTTATTGCACAATATTTTGTACAAATGTGGCACAAGGCCAGAAGGAGGAATGGGGAAAAAGATGGTCATCTTCTGTCTTACCGTATAACTTAGCTAGCCACAAACACTGACCCAAATGTACAACAATATTCCTTCCACCAAAACAATACATTCTTATTTACCCCATCCACCATAATGCTTCAGAAACTCTGTGAAATCCTAACTGGTCCCCATATATACAATTCATTGTCTGTGGGGGAAGGGGAATGACACAAGAGAGCAATTTACAAACTAAAACCTCAATATCTGTATTATATATTATCTACTTCTAGGCAATATCAGGTTTAAATGATATGCATATTGATTTAAAAAAATATTTCATTAATTAACTATCCTTCGTTACTGTTCTTTTATTTGAGGATTGTTTTGATTTTCATATCAAAAATAGTTTTGTTTAGGAATATCGTCTTATATTGTGCAGAAAAGTTTTTGAAATTTGCATTTTACTTGGCCATCAACAAGTTGGCATCTATTCGTAAAACTTTCCTTAACTATATCAAGCCAATTTATGAATGAAATGTTCATTTAAAATTTTTGTTTCAAAGATTTCATGTAGTGAATATATCTTACTTTTTTGAAGCGATAATGAGTGGGCAAAGCCTGCTAGTGTTATATAAACAACAGTTAATAAATTATATATTTTATAGAATACTAATTGAATGTGAATTTGTCAGTTCATAAATAATTGTCTTGAGAACAGACCAGCCTTTCGAGAAAAAAAAGTAATGGCCCTTTTCTAAAAAAAAGTACAATTACTGTGTTTGCCAGCCTACTGGACACAGATTTAAAAAAAATGTACCAAAAATTACCCTGCATCCAATACAGCAGTATCATGAATGAGAAAGACATGAAGACCAATGAATAAAATGGAGTTCACCAGGAAGCAGTGCATGCATAGAGCTCAGCTTTGAAACTAGGACTTCTGGAAGTGAACAAACATTATATCAATAAAAATATCCCTGAAAAATTAACCCAAGAAAAAAATTATGGAATTGCACAATATTTTGATGCTTGTTTTGTAGAAATACCAGATTTTATATAAATATTTGCTTTGACTGGCATATTCCTGTTTGATTTGGGTGTGTGTTTTGCTGATATACAGGTATTAGAATTTGCTTTTATGTATATATGGCATTGGATTTCATTTATCGACAAATACCATATTTCTGTTTCTTTGCCTCTTACCATATTTACCAGTGTTCACTAATACTAATAGATTTCTTAGTAGCTATTAGGAATTTAATGTACGTGCAGGTGTTGCTTCCTGAAAAACAACTGAAACAATTTTTAATAAATGCATGATGAAATGTACTAAAATTCTTCTTTTCCAAAAAATGTCCAGGTGGTCATGGTCTCAGCGCCAGCGCCAATATGGGACGTCCACTGGTCGCGACGTCAATATATGACACTGCGCCGTCGGCCCGTGGTCAACTCCCAGTTGTGGCACGAAGCCGTAAGGTTTCTTCCACCAGCGTTTTGGGGTTGACTCCTTGTCGCTGCCACCGGCTTGTGTCCCGGTCGATCTGGTCGTTTCCGGTTCGATACCAACTTTGTCGTTCTCAGCTAGCCTCCAACGCTTGGTCACCGAAGTAACTGCTTTGATCTCAAGTCTAACCTACCCACGTTGTGACTTTGATCTTAGGTAGACGAAATCAATCAGGTGTCGGGCCGTAGAGGAAGCTGAATCCGGGCTAAAGGTGATACCGCGCAAGCATAAGTAAAAAATAATAATAAAACAAACTCAAGAGGTTCAAATATGTTGAGAAATAACAATTAACTTTATCTGTTGAATATAGGAGTGTGTTTCTCTCCCGGCCCGTTTCTATGGATTCGTGAAACTTTTTGTGTTTTTTAAGCGAGTTATGGTATCTTAAGTCGTTCGTCAATAAAAACTTGCTTTTGGTAGGAAGACTGTCGAAAAGGACGTGGAAATCTTTCGGCAAGCTTCTGCGAGGCTGGTCTCCAACTGCAACTCCGAACTCTCTTGAAACTCTGCCGAAAAAACACTCTCCAGCTGCCTCGAGACGTTTGTTTATATGGACACTGACCAACTCCGGGGTGGGGCCTGTCGTGGTTTGGGTTCTTTGACAATTCTTAATTCCCACGAGAATTCTCTTTGTTCTTAGGCCAGGAAAATTAGTTACTTCCCATTTTTGGAAGATTAATCACTTTCCACTTCGGGGTTCCTCCCTCGTCCATGAGGGAAGGTCGGAGGAGAGTTATCCTCCTAGACTTTTCCTCTCTCACATTGGTATCTCATACCAATCCCCTCAATGGGTGTTAACAACTTCTCCGACTTTCTCATACATTCACCTCCGCCTATCACCCATGCTACCAGTTAGCCAATGATCTCTCAGCAATGTGGGCGTGGCTAGACTGGCCCTCTTAGAATTATTATCGAAAATTTTGTTTATAAAATCATTTTTCTCTTTTTCTTTTTCCTTCGACCAAAATATTTACAATTCCCAGATTGCCAATTAATTCTTTATCACATCCCAAATTCATTTAGTCAACTTTTTAACTGGGTGGTCGTGTTTACCTGATAATTAAATTCTTTATTTTTCTCATGTCTTAAAATTCTCTTATCACCAGATGCTCATTTTTGAGACAACAGTTTGAATAAGCAATAATAATGATCCCTTTTCGACTCTCTTTTTTTCATATCAAGATTCGTACATAGACCAGATGGCTTCCCGCGCTGGAATCAGGAATTAAAGTCAAATGATATCTCTGAAAGGTAATCAATGGCCACTCTCTAGGGTGGTCTCAAGCTGAAATTTTTTCATGGCCGCATGCGTCAGTTGACTTTGTTTATCTTTCAGAATTCTGTTTCATTTGCGCGTCACTCCATTATCGTGACATTAATTAATTTGACAGAATCACAGTCTCGCTTTTTCTTACTGATTTTCTGTCTTTTGCGAAAAGTTTCTTCCTTTTGTAAATAAAATAAATTCTTCTTTTTTTTTTAATATCGCTCAGTCTATCTTTCGGTATAGCTCTTTCTCGCCTTAAGTATTTCCCGTTTTTAATTTCTATAGTTAATTAGTTAGCCGATTACCATAGCTAAATAGTGTCACACAGGTAATTAAATCTTACCTCACTTCTATTAAAAAGTACCAATAGAATAATTCGTACTAATGCTTTAAGTGTTCCTTTATGATTCGTGAGAATGTCACATAAAGGTAAGGTTATAATTTTGATTTTATTTGGTTGCGATGTTTCCTCTAAATATTTTATTCTGCCAAAATCTGGATGTGAACAATAGACCGGCAAATACGGTAAATAAAGTCTGTCCTGCTATTCAAGTGTCCATTTTAATTCGATAATATTAGCAATAGGTTGCAGTTTCGAAACAAAAATCTTTTTTTAATATTTTATAAATTTGTATAATGATTGAATGTGCAGGCGGTGTAATGATTAAAGCTGGGAAAAAGAAATTGGCAAGCCAAGTTCAAAATCAGTTCAAGTTCATTATACTCACTTTCACACTTTCCTTTGGGAAAGATAAAAATCCATCTCTTCTTCCCTCATCTATGGGTTAAATAGCATGGCAGACGGGTCTCTTTAGCCATGGTTGGCAACTGGTTTATGAGAAGAGTCAATTCTGAATTCAAAACTCAGCAACCTGAAGCTGTACAATGATGGTTAGATATGTTGGGGGTTGTAGATACTATGTCAGTAAAACAAAAACATAATAGATTTCGACAAATATAAATGATTTCCCTGGAGATCGATTATCTCAAATACTGTTGAAACCAACAGACACTGGCCGTAAGGAAAGTGATTTTAATTTTGGCAAAAAAGAAATTAATTTGCAAAAATCAACCTTTTGTTGTTAGAGACAAGAATAGAATTTTTGTCAATTTAGTGTGATGAGTGAAATTATTTTTTTGTCTTAAATCAAATCTCATAAGCCACATTTTTTTTAAACATCTGATGCCAGTCACTGCTTGTATTTAGACTTTAATTTTAAAAGCTCAACTTAGTTCTAAAATCACACTCTTTAAAAAACAATGGTTTTATTACAGTTACTGTATAAAATTTGGAGAAAGTAGGAGTCTGGCTGTAAACAATGTGTAGAGAGGAGGAGGAAAGCCCTGCTGCAAACAATATGGAGAGAAGGGGAGAAGAGAGGAGAATAAAAGTCCTGCTGTATACAAGGTGTAGAGAGGAGGAGGAAAGCTCTTCTATAAACAATGTGTAGAGAGGGGGGGAAAAGGGAGAAGGAGGAAGAAAGCCTTGTTGTAAACAATATGAAGAGAAGGGGAGAAGAGAAGAGGAGGAAAGCTCTGCTGTAAATAATATGGAGAGAGGAGGAGGAGGAAAGCTCTGCTGTAAAAAATGTGTACCTGCTATAAATAATATGGAGAGAGGAGGTGAAGAGAGGAGGAAAGTATTGCTGTAAAAAATGCGTAGAGGTGGGGAAAAAAGAGAAAAAAAGAATACCATGATGCAATCAGTGTGAAGAATGGAGGACAGATAAGAAGTGGGGAAGCCCTGCTGAAAACAATGTGTGAAGATGAGGGAGAAGAAAACTAGTTCTAAACAGTGTGAACAAAGGAGGGCACACAGAGAGAGAGAGAGAGAGAGAGAGAGAGAGAGAGAGAGAGAGAGAGAGAGAGAGAGAGAGAGTCTTTTACTATAAACAATGTATAGAATGTACTCCTACTTTCTCCAAATTTTATAAAGGGCAGAAAACCTGGCTATAAACCACATAGGGAGGTGGAAGTTTGGTAGTTGTAAATAATGTGGCAGTTTGTCTTTTGACAAAAAATAGAAATGATAAACTTACCGTAGCTATCAAAATAATTATGCAATGTCCTGGAATTTGTTGTAACAGCTGCTTGCTCGAAAGGATTTGCTAAAAAAGCTGTAACAACAACAACAACAACAACAACAAAAATGTTTTTATTCAAGCAGAAGAATCGATAATAATAGGATGGGAAAAAAAGGAAGAAAGTTTCCCTTTTTATCAGGAATTGTGTGACAGCATCTGAATTTCAAAAATTTAAATTATAAAATGTCTATAAAAGCAGCCGACATTGATTCAACTTCTTTTTTTATTACTCCTCCCGCCTTTTTATCTTTCGGATATCTCAGACCACAAACATTTAAGTTCTATTTCACGATTTTGTTTAGTTCCCCAGAATGATCAATAGAGAGTAGAGATGTTCAAAGTGGAAGAAAAAGATATTTTCATATTGTTCATTACAAGTTTTTGGGTACATTCATTGATACATGTGGGGTACAATCTGGGTGCTCATCATACCACATATCACATTACATTGCTTATTACATATAACTTATATATCACATCTAATAAATGCTAATGTCGGCGTGTCAGACTTTTTCAATTAAAAGGACACAACTCTTTAACTTTTAAATATCTCATCTTCTTTGTCTATATAATAAATGTGAATGACAGTGTGTCACACTTTTTTTCAACTTTACTCCTAGAGCCCAATATATCATACCATTTTGGAATCAGGTCGACTTCGTGAGCAAATTAAAAACATTCCGGGTCGCATCTGGACCTGCAATCCTAAAATTGTGGATTCCCAAGTTTTCATTACTGTATCGCACCCGGCCGGAAGTTACTGCCGGCTACTCGAACATCTAAAAGCGTCTCCGCGGAAAACATAACGAATGCCGTTAACTTCCGGTGACTAAGCGTTTTTCAGTCAACGTCTCACACAAACTAAGAAAAAACGAAACATTTACATATACTAACTTTCCTAACCAAAAACAATTACCAGAAACTACTTTATATACACATGGTGTCCGAATGGAACCCATGTGTACAATAAAAAGTAGAAGGTAATTTTCAGTCATCACCCCAAATATATCGCTGACAGGCTACGTTGCCGACCTCAGCCTATATATACACAGCGGATTTTTCCACCAAATTATTCTCCTCGGCTGAATTTTGGCCTCGGGGTTGAGCGACGAGCTCCCTCCTCTCACCTACGCTGACCACACGAAGCAGCAGCAGCCAAGGCCAGCAGACATCAGCAGCAGCTAGAGCCAGCAGAGCAGTCCGGCCTATCAGCCCAGACATCATCAGCAGCAGCAGCAGAGCCAGCCAGACATCAGCAGCAGCCAAGGCCAGCAGACCGCAGCAGCAGCCAAGGCCAGCAGACATCAGCAGCAGCTAGAGCCAGCAGAGCAGTCCGGCCTCCGCAGCAGCAGCAGCTAGAGCCAGCAGAGCAGTCCGGCCTCCTCATCAGCAGCAGCCAAGGCCAGACATCAGCAGTAGCCAAGGCCAGCAGACATCAGCAGCAGCCAAGGCCAGCAGACATCAGCAGCAGCTAGAGCCAGCAGAGCAGTCCGGCCTCCACATCAGCAGCAGCAGCAGCTAGAGCCAGCAGAGCAGTCCGGCCTCCTCATCAGCAGCAGCCAAGGCCAGACATCAGCAGTAGCCAAGGCCAGCAGACATCAGCAGCAGCCAAGGCCAGCAGACATCAGCAGCAGCTAGAGCCAGCAGAGCAGTCCGGCCTCCACATCAGCAGCAGCAGCAGCTAGAGCCAGCAGAGCAGTCGCCTCGGCCAGCAGCAGCAGCCAAGGCCAGACATCAGCAGTAGCCAAGGCCAGCAGACATCAGCAGCAGCAAGGCCAGCAGACATCAGCAGCAGCTAGAGCCAGCAGAGCAGTCCGGCCTCCACATCAGCAGCAGCAGCAGCTAGAGCCAGCAGAGCAGTCCGGCCTCCTCATCAGCAGCAGCCAAGGCCAGACATCAGCAGTAGCCAAGGCCAGCAGACATCAGCAGCAGCCAAGGCCAGCAGACATCAGCAGCTAGAGCCAGCAGAGCAGTCCAGCTTCATCGTCAGCAGCAGCGACGCAGATATCAGCAGCCTATCCTCGGCTACATGATATGCACTAGCCTATCCTCGGTTACATGATATGCACTAGTCTATCCTCGGCTACATGATATGCACTAGCCTACACTCGGTGCATGATATGCACTAACTATCCTCGGTTACATGATATGCAATAGTCTGCCCTCGATTACATAATATGCAATAGTCCTTTTTCAGGACTAACCTAGCCGCGTCCTTTTATTAGAACTACCAAGCTGCGATCCCGCACGACAGTCTACCCAAGGACGAACTGACTACACCACAGCACTGTCCGCGTCGATCCTCTCTCTGCAAGCGCCGACGCACCCTTTACTCAAGTACAGACATCCAGGGATCGACTGGACCTCGAACATCGCTGTTTCCATTCGGCCTACCTCCAAGCTGTCGCCTTGAAACCTGACAACGCTCCTTCAAGACTACACGACCGAACTACTACAAACGATTATCTGTATATATTCGTGCCAGATTTATTTAATAAAATTTGGCTTAAACTTTTACATCCTCGTTTTTGTTGTCCTTGCTTCGATCGTATTACCTTATATTATTTTTCCGTTTGCGGGGTTAACAGTCAACCTGCTTAGCGCCGCAACAAGTGGTGACCCCGACGTGATATTTACGATCGAGCAAGATGGCAACTGACGAGTGGGAACAGAACACTCTCATAAATGTGGCAATGCCACTCACAAACCTCCCTCCGTACAACGAGCAGAACACCAAGAACTGGTTTTTTGCAGCTGGAAGCCATTTTCTCGGTACGGAGAATAACATCACAACAAGCAAAATTCGCCAACGTGGTACAAGTTTTGCCACCTTCAGTTGTCGACGAAGTAGCCGACATCTTGGAACACGTACCCGAGCAGGAGCCATATACTCGCCTCAAGGATGCTATTCTGAAACGAACCGGCCGTTCGGACGAGGAACTGCTCCGGGAACCTTTTACCCACGTCACCAGGGGGCGACAGAACACCCTCACAGCTTCTACGCTTCATGAGGAGCCGACTGGGGAAACATTCCATGGCCGAATCAATCTTGCGCGAAATTTAGTGATTAAATTTGGATTTTAAAATTGCCAGTTTTTAATTTTAATATTAAATTTTATCATATAATTTTATAATTATTGGTTAGTATAAATTATTTTTAATACTACACGTATTTTAAAGATCTGAATAGCTATTATAACATGATTTCGTTGTCAAGCTTTTGAATCTTTCTATACTTGGTTTTTGATTGGTTATTCTAGCTTTTGTAACAATGTTTCCCCCTAGTGTAGGATCGTTAATTAATTTGAAACTTTTAAATCCATTTATTTTATCTTCAACATCATCACTTGATAAGACACCGAGTGTGTTGAAACTAAATGGCTATTTTTGTAGTGATTTTATAACATACTTATGTTAGAATTTTTTTTATAAATAATAATTCTATATATATATATATATATATATATATATATATATATATATATATATATATATATATTCAAAATACACTCTTAAGTAGGTGCCGGAGGGGATCATCAGTGATGTAATTTGACTTGGTTCATCAGGGAGTTTCGGGTCTTTCAACATCATACTCCCCATCACCAAGTCGACCCAATCAGGATAGATCAATCCCTGATCCCCACTCTCAATCAAAAGCTAACAGTACTCTGGCCTTTTAATGAAAAGATGGAGAAAGACCCTGTTTTCCACTCAATTGGATGTTTGTAACAACCAATCCACTGCGCTATCTATCTATCTATCTATCTATCTATCTATCTATCTATATAATTATGTGTATATATATATATGATTATGTATATATATATATATATATATATATATATATATATATATATATATATATATATATATATATATATATATATATATATATATATATATATATATATATATATATATATATATAGTTTGCTTAGTATTATTTTCACACTGTTCTTTTTTTATTGTTTATTAGAAACTTTGTCAATTCCGTTTGTTGCGCATTCTTACCAATTGCAATTAATCATGTCCAATTATTCTACTCTTATCTTTATCTTGTTTATATTAACAAACATCAAATTTGAAACAAGTCACTGATAACTGCCTACTACATTATAAAATAAAGTATTTAATATTTCAATTGTGCTCTCTTTTTGCTTAATTTTATGTTTTAGTCACTAAAAGATTTAAGAAATAAATTCTGTGTTGTAAGTGATACACGTTTGGGTGATCATGTCTCCTGATTCCTGACTGACTAGGAAGATTTGCCTGCAGGAGGTTGCTATTTCTTTCTGCGGTAGACTGGTTGCCAACCAAGGCTATAGGACCCAAATCTCTTCTGCTATACAAGCAATAGCAGGAGGGAAAAAAAAGATGGATTCATATCTTCTCCAAGAATATTTGTGTGTAAATGAATGTAACGAATTTGATTAGGAAAAAAATGCAGAAATATTAAAGTTTTAAAATGAGTAAATACAAAATGAAATTAGTTAAATTTTATTGTAGCGTTTATAAAAATCAAAATGATCATTATTTAATCTCTTTGATTAAATCAACTTGAATAATTTTACACAGAAATTTTCATGTTCGGAGTAACTTTTATTAGATTAATTTAAGGTTTGTACTTTATTCCTTTATTTTTTTTATATCAATGTCAGTTACTATATATTGTCCCCCTGATTACTCTTCTTTTGTTCTTGTTCCTTAGTAATATTTCTGTTTTCTAATTCTTCCACACCCAGTAACCTCCTTACGTTTTTGTGGCTCTACTGACTTGCTTGGGGTGAAAAATTTAAATGTCAATCATTATCTACTGTCTTCTTGATTCCTCTTCTTTTATTGTTCCCACTCCTCAAAAATATCTCTTTCTTTTCTTATTCTTTCACACTCTGTAACCTCTTCTGTCTTAGTGGCTTTACTGCCTTGCTTGGGGGGAACTTGATTAAAAAAAATAAAGCTCACCATTATTGGTGAGAAGTAAAATGTAAAAAAAAAATGCTTTTAGAATAAATATGTTATAAAATAAAATAAGACATATCTTGGCTGATTTGCAGGCAAATAAAATAACATACTTAAGAGCGAGAGCCGGATGTGAACAGGACAAGGCCCCGTCACAAAATGAACATTATCGTCGTATACGCATAAGCCCGACGCACGAGTTCCGGTCGAAAAATAAAATAATATATTAAAGTGTTTCTATTTTTCGACCAATAAAAATGCTTCCCTCCTAATTATACTCGCGTCGTTTTACGAGCCTGTTAAGCCATAAAAAACGCCATAAAAGGGGTCACACGGAAGTACAAGAGCAGTCAACAGGAGGCCAGGGAAGAGACCTGTCACGGTTAGGATGAGCGGTCAGCAGCAGTAGCGCCACGCCTACCAGCGATAACTACTATGAGAGATCAACCCAGATCGGCAGCCGGCTTATGAACTATACCACAAGGTAGCTGTCCCAAAGCCACACGTTTCTATTGAAATAAATCACGTAAATCTATTTCTGCTGTTGTCGTATTTCTTTCTTGCAACCATACGCTTGTCTATAACTAATATAATTTTAATTAAAAATTTTGTATCCTACTAATAAGCAAACTAGTTGTATGAAACTAATGTTTTCTTGGTATGACAGAACAATGTTAATATGAGTTTTTCATTATCAAGGGGTTTTTGCTTTGATGAAATTAGGGGTGTTTGTTACATGTCAAATTTTTGGAGTTGTGTGAGGTTGAGTCATTTTTTTTTTGTTTTTTGGTCTGGCTGCAATGGCTAAATTTATCAGGCTTGGTGTTGTTTTTTATTACTATCTGCTAAAACTCTAACTGATTGAGGTTGTAATTCTGGTCCTTTTTGATGTTTATTTGTTTAGTTTTGTTTTTTTGTTGATGATTTCTTAAAGGGGTGTTAAGATTATGATTGGGTTGTATTTTTTAAACCTATTATTTTAATTGAATTTGTTAATAGATTTTATATGGTATTTTGTAATTTTTATATGGTATTTTGTAATTTTTATATGGTATTGTGGAAGATAATGAGTCTTTATTTCCTTGTTTGAAATCATTGTAACATTCTGCAAAACAGATTTCAAATTTAGTCCCCCAACAATTTGAGTCATCAGATTTATTTATTAAAACTTGGGATTTCCTGTTTAACAACTGTCAGCGATTAAAAGTTGCCATATTGAATCACATACATAGCATAAAGAAAAGGCAAAATGATTTTTTGTACAAACCTGTTTATTATGCCCATTGCTTGGGAAAAAAACTCTGGCATTTTGGCCTTTCTCTTGCTTTTAAGCAAGAGAAAAGCCAAAATGCCACATGAAAAAGAAAATTAAGTTAAAATTTAAAAGAATTTAATTAAGTAGAAAGGAGTGAAAATTAACATCTTAAGCACCAAGACTTTTCCCCCAATCTGAGGGTTAGAAAAAAAAATAGTATCTACTTCAGTCTATTTTGGGTTTCGCTCTATCTAGCTATCTTGGTCTGTTTCTTCAGTGGAAATATATCTCAGAAATTGTTAAACTCCTCAGTTATTGAGCAAGGATATCCATTGTTACGAACCTGTACATTTCAATAATATCAGAAACAGAAATCAGACACCTCTATCTAAATATTTTTGGCATTTAAAAGAAACAAATAAAACACCAAAAGTAAAATGGAAAATAATAAATAGAACAAGAACTTGTAGAACCTGGGATGGACCATGCCCTTTATGCCTACATGAAAAACTGCACATTATCAAGTTTCTAAAAAATGAAAATTTATTAAATCAAAGAAATGAAATAACGGTTTTTTGAAGACACCACCAAATATTTGCCTTAAATAATTAGCATTTTATAAATGGTCAAAAAAGAAAAAAAAAATTTCCACAATACCATATAAAAATTACAAAATACCATATAAAATCTATTAACAAATTCAATTAAAATAATAGGTTTAAAAAATACAACCCAATCATAATCT